ATGGGGGCAGAACAGAGGACAGACCAAGGGCCCAAGGACGTCAGACAGGAGGAGAGATGGAGGCATGATTTAGGCATTCTGGGTGAGGAAATCTTGCATAAACCAGAGACTTTGATGACCAGAGATTCACAGGACAAGAGGAGGAGAGGGTCAAAGCTGCTTTCCCAGGACAACTGGGGGCTGGTGCTGTGGTGGTGACTGGTTGCTAGGGAGCAGAGAAGCCTGGCTGGCTGCAAAGAGGAAGGCTGAGGCACAGGGTTAGTGGGAGTGATGGTGATTTTAAGATGGCTGTGGGGTGTAAATATCGTATACTATTTAGTATAAGAACTCAAAGGAAGAAATAAAAACAGAAAGGCATAACACAATTAAAAAGAAGGTGAGAGGGGCTGGTGAGATGGCTCAGTGGTCTAAAGCACCTACTTAGAACAAGCTTAGCAAAGCACAGGGACCGCGGTTCAATCCCCCAGCACCACATGCCAGCCAGCCCCGCCCCCTGGTGGGCTGAGCTGGCCACACACACACACACACACACACACATAAATAGATAAAATAAATAAATAAAATTAAAAAAAAAAAAGAAAGTGAGAACTTGAGGATTGGACAATGAAGAGAAGGCAAGGGAAAAGCTAGGAAATATGAGAGGGGCAAAGTCATACATTTAATGCACAAGATGGGTAAGGCAATGGTCCTGAGAATCTTAAGCATGTTTTTGAAACTAGCAGTTAATTGGTAGGATTTCATCCTGACTGATTATTTATGCTGATACCTGTGAATTAAGCAACTGCACTGAAGATAGCAATGTATAATGGTAGGGTCATGCTTGGAATGCCTGTCATTTGGTCTTCTAATTACAAACTGCTTGTCATGACATACCAATTACTGCCATACTGTCTCTCAAGTAAATGTTTGTTTAAAAAAAAGGGTAATAAATGAAAACAAGAAACAAAAAAAGTCACAGTACTATCCTGCTACAAGGCTGTATATTATTAGATTTCTAAATTTCTGCATAAAAATATGTAAATGCTTATTCTTATTTTTTAATATTTTTTATCCTTTTAATCTTTTTTGTTTATATTCTGGAGGGACTCAAAGTTTAACACATCAATACTTGATGGAAAATACCTGTTCCATGTTATATCTAAGATGTTTGATATCCAGACAGACAGTGAAGTTAAGCTCAACTGCCTATGTTGTAGGGTAATAATAATAAGCCTCTCTTCTGGGGGGTTTGCAGACCAAAAAGTAGAGAAAAAGAAGCGCTGCAAAACAGCCAACATTTTGACCCTAGCCTTTCAAGGTCAGTGAAGACTCAGGATTTAGGAGAACCTATACTGTAACATCATGTAACTCAGTTGTGTCCCAAATTTTCTGATCAAGGAGATTATGGGGCCACAGAAGAAAATGAATGATGATGTAGAGTGCGCCTAAGGAGAGTCACATGGAGAGAAAAGCATTCTCTCAGGCTTTCTTTCTTTCTTTCTTTCTTTCTTTCTTTCTTTCTTTCTTTCTTTTTTTTTTTCAAAAAACAAAAACAAAAAACCTTTACTTGTCTCTCAGGCTTTCACAGAGAGCAAGTTGGTCAAGCAAGGGCCGTGACTCATCCACATGGCTGACACTCACAGAGGATCTACAGACTACAGTTCACCATTTCAGGTTAAATCCTGAGGGGATTTGACTGACCTTATCAGATACAAAAGTTACATTTCTTGTTATATAGGTCTTGCTTTATCTTGATCTTAACCATCCAGCGGAAAAGTATGAAAACGAAGTATAAAAAGTAAAGCCATATTGCCAATCTTATGGAAAACCCAATACTATTATGGACTACTGAACTATGTTGGGATATTTTGCTGAATTCATTCACCTATAGTATTTAAATGACAATGGAATGCCCTTCTCTGACAAAACTAACCAAAAAACGGAGATACATATCAACGACCATTTTGTATCGGTATACTCAAAATAGTTAGGATAGATATACAGCTCCACTCTCTTAATTCAATGAATAGAGAGATTTGTTCCAATAGTGTTTGAGACAGGATATCATGTCTGCATCTTGTACTATGAATAACCACTAAGACAACAATATGCAATGTGTTAATTATTGAAAATTGTGCTAGTAATCGGTTGTGAAACTATCTCATTGGTATTTGTTTCTCAATAAAATTATTTAAAGAAAAATAAGACAGCTGTGGGATAGGCAGGTGGGCAGACGCTTCATAGTCTGGTGGGCAGCCAAGGACCGAAGTCTCTCTCTGGCTCTTCCCACCTCACAGCCCACACTGGCAGCAAACTGAGAGCAGGAGGCCACAAGGAACTGTTTGCCTCATGCTTTCTGAACTACCCAGGATCCTTTTCTCACGACAGCTCACGTGCACCTCGCTTCTCAGCTCTGCCAAGGCTGGCAGGTGGTTCTCAAGGCACGTGCTGGGGTTATGCTGGCTTGCTGCCACCACTAGTCAGGCTCTGAGGGTTCTCCTAGGCCACTGTCATCCAAAGTCCCCAGAGCATCAGCCCTGTCCACAAACAGGGGCCCTCCTGGGTAGTGCTGGAATAGGGCCTCTCTCTCTTCCCTGTCCCTCGTTAAAACTTGCTGATGCCTATGCTGGCTCAGCTCAGCCTGACTCTGCCATGAGATATTTGACAGTTTGCTGCCATGGTTCACAGTAACAACAGCTTTCCCCCAGTATCTCTCAGGGGCATCTGCATTTCAGTCAGTGGGTAACACCATAGCCCCAGGAATGGAGGCCTTGCAGTGGAATTTCAATACTGATAGAGAATGAAATGGGGATTATTTTCTTCAAGGAACTATTTTGCTCATCTAAGACACAGATATCTGCCTTCCTACATGAATGACAAATGTCATATCTGGAGACAAAGGATAAATTCTGTCACTGTTTTTTGCTCGATGTGGTGGTGCACACCTATGATCCCAGCTCTCAGGAAGCTGAGGCAGGAAGATTGCTGTGAGTTCGAGGGCAGCTGAGTTCGAGGACAGCCTGGGCTACATAAGGACTTTAAGGCCAGCCTGAACTACAAAGTGAGACCCCTTTAAAAAAGAAAAAAAAAAGCTTATGATCTAACAGTTCAGATTTTAGCTGATTATAGACCCAGGCCCTTCTGTGGCTGGGCACTGGGCCAAGAAGGAAGCTGGTGCTTGAAGCAATACAACTTACCTGGGTGCAGGACTGCTATAAGCTGGGGGGGGGCAGTGAGGTCTGGGATTGCAGTCAGTCGGCCCTGGAAGGAAAGGAGGGCTCCTGTATTGGTGGGCACTGGACAGAAGCAGCATCAAGTGGTAGCTGTGAGTTCATTTCCCTGGAAGGGATGCAGAGAGTGCTAAACATGCCAGCCGCAGAGTCTTGCTCCCGGAAGCAGTTTTCAGTGCCTCTGGGACCTCCAGGAACTGACATGCTGAGCCCGGGCCTGCTGGCTGGGTTGAGGATGAGGCTGTGCCTTAGTGGCATGTAGCTGTCCAGAACTCTCCCAGGAATGTTGTACCTTCTAAGTCCACACGTCATCCCTCATGGGTGGGACAGTTATCTCTAGATGGTTCTATTAGGGGCAGTTATCAGGGCGGGGATGGAGATGAACTGAGCCAAAGCTATGTCAGGGGGCAAGGGGACAGTCAGGGATGCTGCCAGTCCTGAGCCAGACAGCCCCCGCACCTCTGGAAGACTTACTCTTGTGTGCGTGCTTAAACACTCTGATGATTAATCTTTTGAAGACTTTACTCACCAGGATTTTTAGAGAAGTAAATTGCCCATATTTATAAGATGGCAACATTACATTCCTTCTTTAGGAGTACTCTATGGCCTTCTACCCAGGTATTAACTGGAGGGCACTTTCTTCTCTTGAGATCTAGGGGAAGTGGTTTTGAATTCACTAATTCAAGACCATGTAGACCTGAGGTTCTCCAACTTGCCTAGGGTGTTATCTTTTTAGGCTATTTCTGCCTTGAGGGCTGCACTGTCTATGAGTTTTGTAGGTGACAGTGAGGTGTTTTGGAGAGGGGTTCCGGGAAGTGATCTTACCCTGGGCTCCACCAGGAATCCCAAATCTCCTTCTACCTCAGAGCTGCCTTTTTCCTTCGAGGCCTCACCAGCCAGCATTTGGCAGAGGAAATGGCCGGTTTTCTGGTGAGAAGGGATTTCCATCCCAATGGTAAAGAGAACAACACTTTCTTTTCCTTTTTATAGATCTGTTTTTTTTTTTAAATATAAAAAGCGTTTATCATTCTTTATAGCTGAGTAATACTCCATTGTGTAAAAATACCACATCTTTTTCAACCATTCCTCAGGTGATGGGCATCTTGGTTGTTTCCAAGATTTGGCTATCACAAATTGTGCTGCTATAAACATAGGCACACATATATATCCCTTTGATATAAAAACGAAGTATAAGAAGTAAAGCTGTGCTGTTATGTTGAGCTGTAGGGGACTCAGGTCAAAAATTTCTGACATTGCCAGTGAAGCAGAAGACCCAATACTATTATGTACTACTGGACTCTTTTAGAATATTTTGCTGAGTTAACACACCTATAATATTCAAATAACGGAACTTAATGAAAAAAGGGGATACAGATAAATGTCCGTTTTGTATCTGTGTATTTAAAATGGTTAGGATAGATATATAGTTACATTCTCTTAATGAATAGAGGGATTTGTTCAAGTAGTGTTTGTAAATAGGGTATCATGTCCGCATCTTGTACAGCAGTTAACCACTAGGAAGAATGTATGCAATGTGTTAATTATTGAATTTGTCCTACCAATTTGGTTTGAAGCTGTCTCATTGCTATTTGTTTCTCAATAAAATTATGGAAAAAATATAAAAAGCGATCACTTGAACGTCACTTTAAATATTTTACCAACAGTTTATGAAGTAAGTTGGATCAAGCAGGGGCATAGTGCTACAAACAACATCCCAATGTTTGCTGTGTTTGTGTTTCATTTCCCAGTTTCCACCTGGATGGCTGAGGTTGTATAGATGCAGCTGGTACCCTGAGAGTAGAGTACAGGGTGCAGAGCCAGCGCTGAGAAGACAGACCCTTCGCAAAGCTTGGGGTAGCCTCCAGGTAAGTCGTCTTAGCTTTTAGAGGTGATAGGGGTGACACACATTTTGCAATGGACCCATCAGACAAAGATGAGCTTCCAGCCACTCAGGGCATTGGCCCAAATGCACCCAGCTTGCTCACACAAGAGCTGCAAGAAGAATGTGCCAGACACTGGAGGTCCTAGGTGCTAGCTTTCCCTCCCCTATCCCTGTCCCATCCCCGACAAGGGCAGAAGCCCCTCTGCAGCCTGCAACGCTGTGACTCCAGTAGGGAGCTCACTTCCTGAGAAGGCAGCTGTCCCATCTTCCTGCTACTGAGGTGCTGCTGTCGTCAGAATGTTCTTTATGCCCTCAGGAAAATCCACCTGTCTGCAGGGACCACCTGGCTCCCTAATTCTGGTCCCTGAGAGTCTAGGGAATCAGCCAATTCCCTCTCCTACAAGACAGCCCAACTGATATTCAGGGACAGTGTCATAGAGTGGAAAGGTGAGAGTCTGAGGCCACAGGCAGTCCTGGGGCAGCCCACTGATGCATGTGTGATTTGGGGAAAGGTTAGTTAGCCTCTCTGAGGCTCAGTTTCTTTATGCGAAAAACTTGGACAATAATGTCTGCCATAGAGTGGTCCTGGGAGTGAAAATAGACACTGAATAGAAATTGCTGGGTGCTAGTCTGTCACCAATTCTCTGTCACCAACTGGTTGTCTGACAATTTAATTCAATTGAACAACTGCATGTCTGAGTTCAGTGGCCCACTAATTAATGACCACAGTTAAAGGACAAGGTCACCAAGACTGCTTCCACTTCAGACAGCAGCCACAAATGGGATCCCCAGGCCCTTTGCACTTCCCGTCTGACTTGGCAAGTTGGGGATTCCTGGGACTTCTCCTCAGGTTCCACAATTCATTAGAAGGGCCCTGAGAAGATACTAAAATTGCTGCATCATGGTTTTATTATAGAACTCTAAATCAGAAGCAGTAGATGCAAGAGTTGCATAGGGCAAGGTCTGCGCAGGAGTGGGGACACAGAGCTCCATGCCCTCTCCTTGTGGTATCTGAGTTTATCACCCTCCCAACGTGTGTGTTCACAATCAGGAAACCTCCCAAAGCTTGAGCGTCCAAAGGTTTTGATTTTTGTTTCTCTAAGTCAGGGGGCTTATTTTATCAAAAGCACAGTTGAGTAAATCATTTGCCCTTTGTCTTAGTAAGTTTTCTCTTGTTGCTGGGACAAGTACCCAACACCCAAAGCTAAGGAAGGAAAGGTTTAGGTAGCTTACAGCCTGTAGAGCTTTTGGTCCACAATCAGCTGGCTCCAAAGCAGAGTTGCATGGCAGTGGGGCAACAGTTCAAGGTTGTGGAAGACAGCAAAGCAAGAAGAGCAAAAAAAGAAAGGGTAGGAAGCAAGCCTCTTTTCCTCCCTTATATTGTAAGCAGGCTACCCACCTTAAGGCAGGGAGCACGCACACCATCTCCAGGCCATCCTCTCACACAGGCTCAGGACATTTGCCTAGTAGGACCCTGGCCCCCTGCTGACTCACTTAAACTTCTGAACTTCTCAAACTGACACAATGAGGGGCTGGGGATATAGTCTAGTGATATAGCACCAGCCTGGCAAACTCAAAGTCCTGAATTCAATTCTCTGGCACAAAAAAAAATTGGCACAATGAATCAACCATTCCAACAGCTGCCCTAGGGCGTGTCCTCTACACTCTAGGATATAGAACTTCTGTGTTACTTAGTTAGGCTTGTAAACTTTTCAAGTTAATGCAATGCATCAAACATTACACCCTTTAATTGAACTCAGCCTCCAGCCCCTGTCCCTCCTTGGACTGAAGCTCCAACCTGCTAATCAAGCACTTGCACTTTCTTTTTTCTTTCTTTCTTTCTTTCTTTCTTTCTTTCTTTCTTTCTTTCTTTCTTTCTTTCTTTCTTTCTTTTTTTTGCACTTGAGCTTTCTTTTTTCTTTTTTTTTGCACTTGAGCTTTCTGATCAGACTCCCTTTAGCCATCTTAGGGCCTAGTCTGAGTCACCTTATTAGCATAAACTCAGGTTAGATTAAAAGGGGCTCATTATGAATAACAAAAGATATTCTTACTATTTCACCATATGGAAAAGATCCTAAGGGTATTTGAAGCTCTGCACCAGGAACTGGGGACAAAACCAAGTTAATTCTTTCTTTCCCATCACACCTGGCCTACCAGCCCCTGGGCTCTGATCTTCTTCCTCCTACTTAGCCTCTTCCTTGTCATCTCCAGGTTGACATGTTCCCATTAGCAAAAAATTAGGCATTTTCCTCAGTCTTTTCCCAGTTGTTCTCCTTTTGTTAGTATAGCTCATGACTGAATTAGTTTTTTGGACTGAAGTACATAATTACAGGTATTTAGTGGACACCTGTTTACCATTGACTCACAAGTCTTATTACTCAAGCTCCTAATGCTAAAGTGGTTCTGGCTTCTAAGTGACACCTATGTGACACGTAGCATGGGCCAGCACTTGCTAACTCCAGTCCGTTTTAAGTACTTCATGTACATTCATTTTGATGGTTCTTACAGCCACCTTTTGGAGCAGTTAAGTTATCACTGCTATGTAATATGAGGAAGCTGAGGAACAGTTAGGTTAACGGCCCAAGATTACACAGCTCATCGTGGGCGTAGCTGAGATTGGAAGCCAGGAAGTTCTTGTTGCAGAGTCTATGCCTTTGATCATTAAGCTATCTGTACATAATGTTGATTCTTTGTGGAGCACTTGATCCATTGTGTGAAGAGAATGATCACAAAAGATGCCGCTGGTTCACAAAGTCAGAGGGTCTGCCCTGGCCCCTGCTGTCGAGCTGATGGAGTCAGTGTCCCACCTTACACCATGCCCACAGGAGCACCTCAGGAGCAGCTCTGTGGGGCTAGGATCTAAGCAGGCAGGGGACCAGGGACATAGTAGCATAGGCTCCTCTCTCCTCAGGCTTGGGACTTCTTGGCTCCTCCTGTTTCAGGGAAGGGTGAGCTGCTTCACAGCCTTCACATCCCACTCCTGGGAAGTGCAACTTCTCTACAGGAAAGGGAAGAAGACCACCTATTCCTGCCTGGATGGAAATAACTGAGGCTAGGAAGGCTCTGTACCAGACAGTGCTGCCCAAACAATCCCTGTTCCAGAGAAGATTAGCATTTGGTAGCTGGAGGGCCTGGAAGGAACCAGGGATCTCACATCTCCAAGCTCACATCTAGTATTCATGGTGTGGGGGATGCTATTTGCTAATTTAAAAATAATATCCAAGGCTCAGGGCATTGAAAGTGTCAAGGGGAATTATTTGACATGATGAGTCACTGAACTGAGCAGTGATGGGGTTGAGTGGGGTGATGCAGTAGAAGGATTTTGGTTTGCAGCTCTGCCTGCCAGGAAAATCTGGGTGGTGACCACATGTCTGTGTGGCTGAGGTACAGTGCACTTGTATTTGACCTTGCAGTCTCTTCTTATGCTCCAGGTCCAGGCATGAAGCTGGGTGGGAATAATGAAGATATAGTATTCTCAACTGATCCCAAGCTTACAGATTGACTTGGGGCCATGGGCCGCAGTCAGTTACTCATCTATGTTCTTTGCAGGTGTTTCTTTTTTAGCAATTGGCTTGAGGAACAGGCACCAGGAGATGCAGGTAGATCCTTCCTGGGAAACCCAGATCCTCCACCCTTCTGCCTTTTCTACATTGTCACTAGCTAGGATGAGCTGTACAGTATCAGAGCTGGAAAGAAACCCCAGAGATCCTTGTCACTCCCTCACTTAGAGATGTACAAACTGAGATCCAGAGAAGGGAAATGACTTGCCCAAGCTCATGCAGGTATCAAGTGACAGAACTGAGGCAAGATTTCTGGCCCATGATTTCTAGCCCAAGCAAATTCTACCAGAAACATCCTGTATGGATCTAAACACTTTTTCCATTTAGACGAAGAAAGAGTCTGAATTTAAATGTCTCTAAGTGCAGCCTGCAGTTTTGTTCTATCAAACTGCCAACTCTATTTTAAAATCTTCTTTAGAGAATTTCTTGGGGGGGCTCACCTCTCACAGCAGACTCTGCCCACTACTGTCACTCCTGTCTTTTGTTGCCAAGTATCTCATCAACATGACCAATGAAGGTAATGCTGGTTGTGGGAGATCTGCTAAGGGCTCTCATAAGGAGATGACACATTAGTGAAAGAACTAAGAACAGGGGCCACAGTTTGTTGGACTTGCCAAAGCAAATCATGGGGGCATATGCAGCCCAGACCAAATGTACCATGGCAGGAGATGGTTTGAGTGGGCCTGGACAGGCATGGGAAGTGGCATGATATGACATGAGTTCAGAAACATGTGGGTCCATGCCACCTTTGTTTGGCATGCTAAAATTAGCCATCTCCTGGAGTGGGCATGATATTACGTGTTATAACCATTGACATGTAGCCTGTAATCTTTCAACCCTGGTTGTTGTTTAGCAACACCTAGGGAGTTTTTAAAAATCCTAATGTCCTGGTCACTCTCTAGACTAATTATATGAGAACCTCTGGCATCAACAATTTAAAGTCCCAGGTCGGGGAGATGGCTCAGTAGAATAAGCACTTGGCCTGGCAAGCACAGGTGCCTGAGTTCAATCCCCGGTTCTGCCAAAAACAAACAAATAAACAAAATAAAGAGTATTTCAACAATTTAAAGTCCCCCTGGTGGTGGCAATGTGTAACCAAGGATGAGAAGCAGCATTCTTGGCATGGGTTCAAGCCATCATGAAACCCTTGAGGCACTCTGTCCATATGCCTTCTCCTGAGCTTGCTATTCCATTTCCCTGAAAGGAAGTGTGTAAACAGTGACCGCAACAAGCCAGCTGGTTTTCCTAGGCTGATAGGATGGACTCCCACTTATCTTCTCTGGGTTAATCCATACCATTATCCTCTACACACATCACCCAGAGACTATAAAGGTAAAGGGTAGAGTCCTGACAGGACAAAAGAAGAGGTCCCAGGCACAAGGAGAATGCCCCCCACACCTTTGTAATGAGGCTGAAATGAAAGTTGTGGCTGAGGCTCATGGGGCTGCTGAAGCAAGACTGGAGGGGGCCAGGTCAGCAAGACTGGTCAGCCAAGGTCAATTGCAGATCAGGACCTGGGAGGTCAGGAGCATTCTCCCAGAGAATGTCATGGCACTCCTTCTTCTCATCAATGGGAACTCAAAGAGGAGCAGAGGGGTGGCAGAGTAAGGATGGGCACTCAGAGTCCCTACCCCTTTTAATATTCTTTCTCCTTAAGTTCAAAAGCTAATTATGGCTCACTCAAAGTTCACATCTTCTTTTGCTAAAAGAGGACCAGCCAGCAAGATGAAACACAGAGTGGTGAGGTGCATGCCACAATCTTAAGAGCTAGCAGAGCTGACAGGTGAAGGAGGCTGGCTTGGCCGAAGTCTCACTGCCAGGAAGTGAAGGCTGAAGTTGCAGTCTGACTCCTCAGATGAGCTCCGGTAGAGCAACATTCTTTTGTTCTCCATGTATGCATTTGAACAAGTGTGCTTGAGCAGAAAAAGGATATAGCACGATGGTCTCCACTGTAGGCCCAGGTCCCAGTGTGTGGGACTCTGAGCGTCTGGCCACATGTCTCCCTTCACATTGTATTAATTCTTTGTTCTCAGTATACATTTGCGGGGGGAGGGGGTTGGGAAAATAACTTTTTCTTTAATACAAATTGTGTACTTCTTTTAAATTTGGTAAGAATTGGATTCTACATTAAGCCATATTTTACAAAAAAACAAAAAACAAAAGAACAAAAAACAAAAGGAACCAATAGTTCCTTTCCAGGGGTCAGGCACTAAGCAAAGTGTTTCCCACGTTTTACTAAAGATACTTGTATGCAAATTTCCCCACTATATTTTTTGAGGATGATTACAAGAGGATTTACATTTTATGCATTTATGTATTTACACTTATGTAGCCATGCTGGGAATATAATCCAGGGACTGGGACATGCTAAGCAAGTGACTTATCCTGCCTACTTGCTACTTAGGTGACATACTGACTCCACTAAATTGTTTCTGCTCCGAAAGTGTTGCAAGTCGTGCTTCCACTGGGAAACTCTCCAAGGCAACCCCAGGGTAACCGGTTAATCCTGGTCCGTTTTTCACTCAGCCTGACATATGACAGCGCCCCCTATCTGTTGGCACAGGGGCTGCGTCCTGCCTCTGGCCACCACTGTTTCTCACACACTCGGCTGGTCACAGCCTGAGGTGAATCTAATCCTCCTTCTGCTTTTGAAGTGTGGGTCCACCTTTGAGGACCAACCTGCCCTAATCCATCCTGTCCCTCCTCTGCAGCGTTCCGGGGGCCATCCATCACAACCTTAGTGGGAAAATGAGCGAAGACACAGTCCCTGAGGCCGCCTCACCGCCGCCCCCACGTGGGCAGCCCTACTTTGACCGCTTCTCGGAGGAGGACCCCGAGTACCTGCGCCTTCGCAACCGGGCTGCCGACCTGCGGCAGGACTTCAACCTCATGGAGCAGAAGAAGCGCGTCACCATGATCCTGCAGAGCCCTGTGAGTAGGTCCCACCCAGCTGCAGACGCGTCGCTATCTTCTCTGCGCAGGGTTGGGGCTGATTAGAATCAAGCGCCTCTGGCCTGCCACGCGATGTTTATCGCTAGTGGATGGCAGAAGTGGGTAGCGCGCAGACAGCGTGTCCCAGAGAGAGGGAGAGGAGCTGGAAAGCTGCCTCAGAGCCCCTGGCCCTCAGGGTCTCAGTTTCCAGTCTTCTTTCCCCACCAAAGCGCAGCCTCCAAGGAAAGCTTTAGGGCGCCCTCTACTGAACTCAGCTTGTAGCCAATAAGGCTGAGGAGGGCCCCTGGAAAGCCCCGGAGATGGGGAGCATGGAGTACTTAGAGGGCAGGGATTCAGGGACAGGAGCAAAGGACAGGAGGCCAAGCTGGGGTCTCCTAGCTCTCTGAAGACGGTGTATGCAGGAGGACAGGCTGTCTGACGCACCCTGGAGTGGGAGGTGCTGCGTGTGCTCCCATGGGGAGAAAGGCTAGGGGACAGGAAGGTGAGGGGAGGCCAGACGGCGCTGGGGCTTCTTCGGAATAGCAGGTGATGCTAAGGGTCAGCAAGCTAGGGACAGGCGGGGATTGTGCTCCAGTACTTAGCAGGCAGATGTGACCGAAGGCTCTGCTCTGCTTCACTCTTGTGACCCCACCCCCACCCTGTGTGCCCCGCTTCAGGAAGGCAGGACACCAGTGTGGGCTGAGTGATACCCTGACTGAGAGCATGGTGAGTGGTCAGGCCCACAGGGGGAGCCAGCCTGAGGCCTTGGTGGCATTGTGTGGGGAGTCTAGAGAATAGTAGGCACTAAAAGCATTGGGCTGAGGAGTCCCTGAGAAGATCCCACGAGTGTGGCTGGAAGGGGTGGCAGGGTTAAACAGCACCAGCCTAAGTTTTGGGGCCCCAGGCAGGAGTAGGGACTGCAGGAATTCTGCTTCCTCTGACCTTTTTATAGGATTAAGCAGCTCCCTATTTCCTTCAAGTGTTTCCTACTGCCACCTGGTGGGCGAGATGCCCTGTGTATGCCATGTGCTCTGAAAAGCTAGCCTTAGGGCATTCAAAGTGGAAGCCACCTCAGAGGTCATCAGGTCCATCTGCTTTTCCTCCTATCCCTTTATTAAGCATACCTGGAAACAGGCCCAGAAGACCCACAGGCATGCTAATGGAGAGGGAAGGTGGCGTGCTTTCTCACTCAGTTCTGCTTTAAACATGCCCTTAATTGCTAAAGTGAAGTCCTGCCAAGTCTGATGGGGTGGAAGGGAGGGTGTGTCTTGCCCATTACATGCATACAGGAAGGACCTGGGATCTAGATCTGCCCATCCCCAGCACACAGGATACACGAGCATCTCCTCTTAGGGCCCCTCACAGCGATCTGGAAAGGCTCCTGCTGTCCTAGTGGAGTTGCCTCTGGAGCCCAGGAAGCCCAAGAACTGGGCTAGCTGACCCCAGGGCTGGGAGCGGGCACTGGGTGAGCTTGTCAGTCAGCAGCGGTGAGTCCCTCAGTTTCCTGTGTGAGATGCTCTGGGGGGACCAGCACCTCTGGGCCTGCTTCAGTCTTTCAGGGAGGAGCTGGAAGGCCTGATCCAGGAGCAGATGAAGAAGGGGAACAACTCCTCCAACATCTGGGCCTTGCGACAGATTGCGGACTTCATGGCCAGCACCTCCCACGCAGTCTTCCCAACATCTTCCATGAGTAAGTAGGTGCCTGGGGAGCTGCCAGGAGCGACAAAGATGGGTGGGGTGAGGAGGAGAGAAAGGAGCAGCCAGAAGCTGGTTGCCAGGCGACAGTACGAGTGTGCCAGTGTGCCGTTTCATTAGCAGGCCTGGGGGATCGCAGCAGAAGCCAGGGAGGTGGCTGGCTTTACTTTTGATGTTGCAGCAAATTAAAGACCCACAGAAGAATTATCCTTGATGCCAGGAGTGGGAGGGGTGGAGGTGACTTTAGGGGATGAAAAGAAGCCATCAGAACAAGTGTGTCCATGGTGCTCTGGATAGGCCAGCTTGATTCATGGATGAGCACCAAGAAGACACAAGGCTTTGCATGAGCTACTTTTTTAGGCTGTACAGCTCTGTCCACAGCATCCTTTAAAACAAACATCCAAACAGCTGCCCCTCAACATGATTGATATAGGATGATGGTTGAAAACTAGGAAATAATCAGGATTCTTAAGACCTGAAAATTACTATTATCAATATTTTAGTGTATATCCTTTCAACCCTTTTCACTTAATGTAGATAGATTATGCAAAAAATAAAATCACATTATATAAAATTTTAATAGCATGTTAACTGGTTTTTCACCCAATAAAATGTGATTCTGCAATTTTTAGTAGATAAATGCTATTGAATGAATTTTTCATTATTGGACTTTTAGATTGTTTTCACCTTTTTGCTACTACAAAAAATGCAGTAAACATCCTGTTAAATAAACCTGTGACTTTATCTATTACTATTTTCTTAAGATAAATAACAAAGAATAGAACTGCTAGATCATATTTGAAAGACTTTCATGCATAATAGCCAGTTGGGTTCTTTCGCCATCCTCGAGAACAATGGAGCCAGTTTACGTCCCCAGCACTGACATGGCCCATTCCTCCACCCTGATGTGTAGAGTATCCTATGATGTGTCTTGTCCTCCTCAGGTTTCAGATTACACAGTTTTATTTTGTTTTACTTTTTTCAGTTTATTTTTTATTGTTTGAATTTTTATTTATTTATTTATTTTTTGTATTTTAGGGAAGGGTCTACAGGGTGTTCAGGGTCTCACTACTAGATCAGACTTGTAGTGATCCACCTGTTTACAGCCTCCCAAGAGCTGGGATTATAAGTGTGCACCACCACACCCAGTCTCAATTGTCATCTCAGCACGCCCTGGGGGCAGGGCAGCACGGCAGGCCCAGGGATGGAACTGTTGGCCCCTGCGCCTGCTTACAGGCACTTTAATCTGCTGAGCTAGTTGGCTGACCCTATTATTTGAATTTTAACATTCATTTATTTCATTATAAATGACACTGATTTATTACACATGCTTATATACATGTTGGATATGGTTTTCTTTTGTAGTAAAGTACTTGTGCACACCCTATGCCAACTTTCCTGTTACTATGTTTTTCTTATACATTTTCAAATCTATAAATTAACACTATTTCCCTATTATATTTCCAATATATTGCAGTTGTCTTTCTAATTTTCCTGTGCTGTTTAATGTTCTCACAGTGTGTTTTTCTTCCTTTCTGCCTTGTCAAGTTCTTTGATTTCCATATAGTGGAATCTATAATTATTATTGTTATTATTTTTTTTATTTTAACATTTAGTGTGTGTGTGTGTGTGTGTGTGTGTGTGTGTGTGGCCAGCTCAGCCCACCATGTGGTGCTGGGGGATCGAACCTTGGTCCCTGTGCTTTGCCAAGCTTGTTCCAAGTAGGTGCTTTAGACCACTGAGCCATCTCTCCAGCCCTATAATTATTTTTTGTGGGTTGTTTTGCACGCATGCTCAGAGGCACCTTCTCCATGTTTTATTATCTGATGGGACAAACATGATCAATTACTTGAATTGTTTGTCCAAGTTCATTCTTTAAAATAATTTTAGAATTATTTTCAAGCTCCACCCACATCTACCTTAACAAATCCTTTTGTGAGTTTGGTTGGGATTGTATTAAATGCATTGATTTGTAATCTTAGAATATAAGCTCCATGGGAGAAATTTGTATGTTTGATTCTAGAAATTTATACATTTCATACTATTTCCTATAATAGTATCCTGCACTTAGAATAGTCTCTGATACATGGGAAGTACTTTAAGCATATCTGCATAAATGAATTTTAAATATTTTCAGAAATGAGGGATGTTTAAGTCTTCTTTAATGCCTATTAGAAAAGGTCGGTAGTTATTTTTATGTAGTCACTGTGGTCTTAAGTTTATCTACGAAATCTTATGTAGCTTTGTTATTTTAAGTGAATCTTTTTCTGCTCGATTTTCATCCTGGATTTACCTATATATTTATATAAATTCTCTTGAATTTTTATGGAAAATCATATAATCTGAAAATTCATGATCATTTAGCCTCATGATTACATGATTTTTTCCAGTTTTCTCATTTTATCTGTTAGCACTTTCAGAACACTGTTTAATAATGTATTAGAGGGTAATCACCCTTGTCTGGTTTCTGACTTTAATGGAAATACTTTTACCACAGAATTTGAGATCATTATTTTTTATTGTGTTCAGGAAATATCTTTTTATTGTTGCTCATTATAGGTCTTTCTCAGAAATAGATTTTAAATGTTATAAAATGCATTTCGGGCATTATCGATTTTTCTTTCCTTGAACAATTGTTGTGATGAGTTAGAGTAATAGAACCCTGAATATTGATCTCTCTTTTTCACATTTCTGAAATAAATTTCTGGTCTTGATACAATCTTTTAAAAATGCTCTCCTGGATTTGATTTGCTAGAAAGTTATGAATTTTGGAGCCCATGTTCACACTCAAGGTTGGTTAGCAGTTCAGTCTTGGGCAGTCTGCATCTAGTACTAGTGTTAAGGCTATAATTTTATAATATCCATTAGGGTAATCCTACCTTTCTTTTTGTCTTCATGGAGTTTAATAACATAGGAAGTCTCTTTCTTGAAGATGTATTATTCACTTACAAAACCATCTAGAACTCAAATATTATTAGAAATCTTTGATAATTTCTCTTCAGTTTCATCTAGAGTTTTTAAAAAACGTATTTTGCTGTTTCTTCGGTAAATTTTGTTCATATAATTTATTTTTATTTTTTGTTCATATAATTGATCTGAAATAATTAATTTTATTTTTTTAAATTGTTAAGGTGACTTACTTCGTTTTCTTCATTTAAGTTTTATGCTGTGGATGAAATGCTGTCCCATTCTTATTCCTGCTCCTGTATATTTCCCTTTTTTCTATTCTTATGTATTCAGATATTTGTTTATTCATAGATCTTCTCACATACACCAATTCTTGGATTCACTTATTGGTTCTACTATTTTTCCTGATCTCTAATTTTTAATTTTGTTTCTGTATTTATTAATTCTTTCCAATAACTTTTCATTTGCTTGCTGTGTTCTTTGTATTTTTTTCTAGACTAGAATAAATTAAATTTTGCTTATTTTCATATAAAGCAAATGTGCCTATGAATTTTAGCACAATTATTTCATTATTGTTCATTTTGGGATAGTTTTCAGTTGCTATTTTGACTTTATTTATTTAATTGCTAGGATTGAACCCAGCACCTTGCACACGGTGCTCTGCCACTGAGCTATTCCCAAAGCCTATTTATTTATTTATTTATTTAGTTTTTTGGCTTGCTCAGGCTGCCTTAAGGGTGGGTCTGGTGAGGCATGTGGAGCTGGGGATTGAACCATGGTTCACTGCGCCTGACTGGGTTTGCCCAAGCAGGCACTTTAAACAACTGAGCTAACCCACAAGTTCCCTTATTTTTGTTTTTTTAAGAGCTGCCAGAGAGTATATTTTCTCATTTTTATTTTTATTTTTTTTATTTTTTGCAGAGCCGGGGATTGAACTCAGGCCCTTGCACTTGCCAGGGAAGCACACTGAGCCATCTCCCCGGCCCCTATTTTCTCATTTTTAAATGGCTAAATGCATATTCTTTGAAAGATTTGTTACTAATAACAGACTTTATTGCATTATGTTCAGAAAACATATCCTTTTCAATTTCTATTTTGGAGGATTTTTTGAGGTTTATTTGTGGCCAAATAATATTATTTTTGAATTATATATAGTTGCAGACAATCTCTAGAACATATTATTTATTCTATATTTCCATTTTCATTTGGTTGTTTTTAAAAATGAAAATTATGTTGTCTTCCACTGTGTTTGGCGTCTGTTCATTTCTCTTTGTATTTATGATGATTTTTGCCTTATATATCTTGCTGAAATACTATCCAAAGCATGTGTTTATTAGCATGTGAGAAGAACAAGCACCCTTCCTGGCTGGGAGCATGACCCTATTTCCACTTTAGTTTTGATTGCTATAATTTCATTGTGGATTGCACCTTTAATCTGTATAAAGTGATTTTCTAAATAACTTTGTCCAGGAGAGTATTGTTTTGCCCAATTCTACTTTGCTAACAACATTATTTCCCTTTTTTTCATATTTATTTATTTATTTTTAAATTTTTTAAATTTTTTTCCATAATTTTATTGAGAAACAAATAGCAGTGAGACAGTTTCAAATCAAATTGGTAGGACAGTTTCAATAATTAACACATTGCATACATTCTTCCTAGTGGTTACTTGCTGTACAAGATGCGGACATGATATCCTATTTACAAACACCATTAGAACAATTCCCTCTATTCATTAAGAGAATGTAACTATATATCTATCCTAACCACTTTGAATACACAGATACAAAATGGACATTCATCTGTATCCCCTTTTTTGTTTAGTTCCATCATTTGAATATTATAGGTGTGTGAACTCAGCAAAATATTTCAAAAGACTCCAGTAGCCCATAATAGTATTGGGTCTTCCACTTGACTGGCAATGTCAGAAATTGTTGACCTGAGTCCCCCATAGCTCAACATAACAGCATGGCTTTACTTATTTCCTCTTTTTATTGTTTCTTTTTATTTATCTTTTTTTTGATCTTTCTCTTACTTTTACCTGTTTTATGGTACTTCAGTGGTTTCTGCTTTTTTTTTGTGGGGGGGGGCTTGTTTGGCTGTAACAGAAATCTGAGGCAACTTATTTTTGTTCTTTTGTTGGTAATCGGATTTTTTTTCTAAATAATTATGAATTTTTCTCCTAAATATGTATTTCAGAAATGTTGTGCAGAAGCATATAATTTTTATGGACTTTCTTTGCTGTAAAAATGTAGCAAGTTTTTAAAATTCATATACATGGATCTTTATTTCAATTCAGAAAAGTTTTCTTCTATTGTATCAATACTGATTCTGTCTATGCTGGTTCTCTGGTCTTTGCCTCCCACCTCCCTCATAGTCTGTCATTATTTTCATGTCTCTGTCCTTAAACCCTTACTTTCGATGGACACACAGGGCTAACCAGCATTCTCCTTGCTTCACTAATCAGCATCTGCCAGGGAGAAAGGTGATGGGATATTTAGAGCAATCTGATGAGTACATGCCTACAGTATCAGAGGTGAGGCGTGCAGGGACAGGAAATTCCCAGGGTCATTCAACCCAGATTTATATTCTCTAGCTAGCACCATTTGCCTTAGAATTTGGGAGTGAGGAGAGGGTGGGTTGGTGTTAGGGTGCCCTTCAATATTAACTTTAAGGGGAGTTGGTTAGATTTTCATATTGTCCTTTCTTTTCTTGGGTACGCTGAATAAATGGCCCAGTTAGATCTGCTTCCCACCCATGGCATCCAGCCATCCTAACTTTTGTGAAGTTGGCCAGAATAAATATTTTGTACATTAAGATCCCCAGAGTGGGGAATTGGGAACTGCTGTAGAGTCCTCCTGTTCTTGTCTCTTGCCCCTAAGTCCTGTGGGCGAGGTAATTCTTGGAGTTGATGCTTCACAGGGCAGAGCGGGAGGACCATCTTTGAGACTGATGCAGAGGGTGTGATGGAGGGAAGGGGACCAGTGCTTCTGACGTGCCCTCCTTTTTGCTGTATTGGCATGGGATGTCCAGGGCATGCTGTGCTTGCTGGGTATGGCCCAGCATCATCTAGTCCACTCTCCCATTTTCAGACCATCTCATTATTTCAACTCACAGCAAGGCTGATGCAGGGCCTGTATCACATCGTGTAGCAGAGAGGCTTACAGAGATGCCAACAGCTTCCAAAGAGGCTTTTAATCCATTAAAGTTTTTAGCAGGGGAGCTGGGAGAGGCAGCATCGGGAGGCTCTCTGCCAGATACCATTTTAAGCTAGAATCCTTTCTTATTGATTTTTTTTGTTGTTGTTGTTGGTTTCTAGACACTGATTAATCTGAGTGTGGGGATGGAGTTTCAGGTGCCTTCTTCTCCCTTCCCAAGGCCTGGTCTTCATGTTACTGAAATAGACAGAACATCAAATCCTAGAGCTTTTGGGTGTCCTGAGAATAACTATTAACAGTCGTAGGCCTATTTCCAAGTTCTTTCCACCTTCCTTCCAAAAGTTCCAAACAGATCTATCACATAAGCAGGAGTCTGCGTGCAAGGAGGAACAGACATGGCCTGCTGCAAACTGCAGGCCCTTTAGCCAGCCTCAACTTCAGGGATTTATGATTCCTAAAAATAACACAGGAGAAGTTGACAGATCTGCTTCCTGGCTGACTTGGCTTTCTATTTGACCTTTTTTTCAAATCACAGAAAAATTGTATTACATGGAATAAACAACCTGATTAATGGCCAGTCTCCTAATTAGTAGCTTCCTTAATAGAACTAATTGACATGCCTGTATTTCCACTCAGAAATTTATTATTGCTTCTATTCAATATCCATCTTTAGGGTTTATGATCATCTTAGCATTCCAGGAATCCTTCGTTCTATGAACCTGATTCTTGCTATGAGTTTTGATCAAAATCAATGCCACACTTTATTCACAATAGCACAGGACTTTATTAAGCACAGATGCCCACTCTTGGCTTTCTTCACTGGGTAAGGGTACATGCGTTGAATTCCCTGCCCAGCAATCCTTCCTGTGCAGTTATAGTGCCAGCGAGGCTTTAGAAAGGCTGAGGACAAGGAATGGGGGCAGGGGGTCTGGAGGAAGCTCCTGGCCTGGAGTGAGCAGCGCTGCCCCTCGTGCTGTCCCCTGTAGACTTCTCCATGATGACACCAATCAATGACCTCCACACTGCCGACTCCCTGAACCTGGCCAAGGGAGAGCGGCTCATGCGATGCAAGATCAGCAGTGTCTACCGACTCTTGGACCTCTACGGCTGGGCCCAGTTGAGCGATACCTATGTCACGGTGAGGAGTATACCAAATCCAGAGGGAGACCTCCTTACGCTTAGCGTGGTCATAACACTGCTGGTGGCCTCTGGCCAAAAGGCAATGAACTCTTCTAAGATTTCTAACTATTGTGGCCACTAAAATAGAAACCCTACTCAGTGGGTACTCTTTGGATAGGGAGCAAGAACTCTTGGATTCTTTCAGGCTTTCTTAAAGATTTCAAGATTCTTCTTGTAGTTCTATTTGTCCTGCTCCAAATAAAGTTCCAGTCCTCTTCATCCTTTAATGGTAAGGAGAGAGAGGAGGAAGATTTGGGCATAGTAAATTCAGGAAAAGAGATTCAAATGCAGTGTGCTTGAAAATGTTCCTGCTCCTTATTTGTCCCTGAGAAAGTGTTTCTCTCCTCCAGTTGAGAGTCAGCAAGGAGCAGGACCACTTCCTGATAAGTCCGAAGGGAGTTTCCTGCAGTGAAGTCACAGCATCCAGCCTGGTGAGTACTACCTACCATCTAATTGCCCACTCCTTATCAAAATAGCAGAACTTCTGCTCCTACAATGCTGGGTCATCTCCAAAGTAGCCACTGTTGTCCTGTCCCTTGTGCCACTCACAGTCGAGTGGGGCAGAGAAGACACTTGGAACAAACTAAGCTCCCAGAGGATTATGTGTCCAGGGTATCAAATGCAAGGTGCAGGCAGCAAGCACAACAGGAGGGGTGAGGAACAGGGACAGCCCAGATGGCTAAGCCTAGGACTGCACTATGAAGACAGGCATTGGGCCCTTCTTGGATGGGAGATATGTTAGAACAAGAACCAAAGCGCTGCAAGATTCATCTGGTACTGGGCCATTAGAGATTGCTTCTGGATCCCTCTCAGAGCCGCCCCTTTTAGGTGGGTGAGGAGGAGACTTCTAGAAGGTAGTTAGATAAAAAAGGATTTCTGGGTGGGAGGAGGAAGGCAATAGAACTGTCTTAGAAGCAGAAAGGGCCCAATCCTTCTCAGTTGCATGGACAGAGGTGGCTGCTATGCCATCCCAGGCACCTGGAGAAGGACACAACTCCAGGGACTGCTGCCACACTGAGGATGTGTGCAAGTGTAGAGTCCAAGGACTTGTGCCCAGAGTCCATGATGACAAGCTGTAGAATATCTGGGCAGGGGACAACCTCATGGATGGCCAAAGTCACTTTATAGGGGTGAAAGGATACTGGTGCCCAGAGAGGTATCATAATACCTCTCATTTTAAAATTTTATTCTGCTGGACATATGGAATCACTGAAGTATGATCAAGTTACCACTATGCAAAAATCACTCTGACAGAGAAGTGGATGCCAAATGACATCAAGACAGTTGGTTAGTCCATTTACACTAAGCTGAAGAAAAATATTTGGTCCTGCATGTTCACTGGGCCTGGTCACCACAGCATTGGGAATTGGGATCGCGGTTGAGAGTCTGGTTGGACATCCAGGAGAAAGTCAGTGCTTTGGAAGGTTGCAAAAGATTTAGCTTCAAGATACAGGGCTGAGAGTCACAGGCATGAGATACTCAGAAAATGTTGTAGACTGAGTTCTGCTGTGTATGGCTGTGCAGCTTGTGTGTGGCACAGAGGAGCCTGGCTGAGAGAAAGAGGGAGAGAGCAAAAGCTAACCTGCGCCCCACTCGCCAAGTACTGTATGATATCCTGGCATTTGGCTTTTTTGAATTTACACAGCATTCTGTGTCCCTGGGCCTGTCCTCAGAGAGTGTTCGTTTTCTTATTTGTACAAAGGTGCCATATGTAACCCATACAAAACGTTAGGCTGTCAAGATCCTTGAGTGACAACAGATCACATATGCAAGGGTGAGACAAGGAATACGTGAGATTAGAGAGGGACCACCCCAGAGAGGAAATTCTGACTGGCCACACATCTGAAGAAGTAGACAGCTAGGCTGCAGAGAAACCAGAGGCCACCACTGGACATGCAGGTGCCGGAGGTAGGAGAATTGCTACAGTTTCAGGGATTGGGTCACAGAAGTCATGTTCATTTTGTAAAATTCACTTATAATACCACTGCTCAAAGGCAGTTTGTTTTACATCTTACTGGTACTTTGGCAAGGCAGATGATGTCTGTAGCATGTCCCTTATCCCACTCAGGGTCTACCTCCTTCCTTTGGTCCCCATCTTGTCTGTTAGGGCTCTCTGGGATGCATAGGGGTGGGCAGTTTATGCTCTGGGTTCTTCAGTTTGTAGAGCCAAAGTCATAGTAGTGATTTTTAGAAACTATAATCTAGCGTATTAATGTGCAGAGAACAGCTGTCATCAGGGAATTAGATTACATGGTTTCCCATGGAGCATATGTTTAGTAAGAAAGTCAGGAGGACCTTGTGAGAATTTTTTTTTCTAAGTTCCCCAATTTGGGTCTCGGAGGAGACGTGGCTGTGGAGCACCGGTTATCAGAATGCAGTAGTGACTCTGAGACTGGCTGTTTTACCAGTTTCTGGCCAGGAGTCCAGGATATGGAGCGAGGCTGTAGCTGACATTGGTGAAGCAGGAACATTCCCTCCTGTTAGCCAGAAAGGGAGGCTGTTGTTCCTTTGTGCACTTGTACCTGTATTGCCTGTGTTGAGACGTGATTTGCCTTTCTGAATCACAGTCATAGTAACCTCTTACGCTGGCCTTCTGTGAAGCTGTTTATGTTAGGTAGGGGCTGACTGCTGTGGCCTGCTGCCGGGCACCGTTTTGCTCTGTTTCTTGTTCTTTCTTGCACGTGTGTGTGTGTGTGTGTGTGTGTGTGTGTGTGTGTACATGCACATAGGAGTGATTTTTTTTTTCCAGAACCAGGGATCAAACTCAGGCCCTTGCGCTTGCCAGGGAAGCACTTATTCCACTGAGCCATCTCCCTGGCCCCAAGAGTGATTTTTTTTTTTAAGCTATGACACATACATCTCTTGGAGACAGAAGCAGATTATAGAGCTGTGGTTTCCTTCCACTTGCCCTTTCAGACTTAGCTTCGGGGTGATGTGTAAATGGGTGTTCAGTATACTGCTCTCTTTGTCTTTGTGTGTGATTTTTAAGTTTTCAGAAAATGAAAAAGCTCATCGAACCATAAATTCCTTTGGGAAGGCTTCTGATTCTTCTAGTCTGTCAGATTAAAAACTCCTCCTCCTTGCTTCTAGAGAATTCTGGGAATGAGTTTCTTATAGTTCCTTGCTACTCAAGGTGGACCACAGTGGGTATCAGTTGGGAAGTTGCTAGAAATTCACACTCTCCCATGAGCCACCTGCATTGACAGGGCCTTCGGGGATTCATGTGTTCAGTGAGGTTTGAGAAACTCTACTCTAGCGTTTTCCCTGCTACATCATAGTGACCTGTGACTCTCAAGACTACTCTCACCCAAGCCAGGACCCAGGTGATTGCTGCCCTGCACCAAGCCTGGCAACTGCTCCTGGTGTCCGGAATGAATGCTTGGACATGGGTACTGAGTCCTGGGCCCACCCGCCCAAAGAGGAATGAGAGCCCCTTCCTGCCTGGTTCCTCTAAGTCTCTCTTCTTCCCTGGTCCAGATCAAGGTGAACATTCTGGGAGAGGTGGTGGAGAAGGGCAGCAGCTGCTTTCCGGTGGACACCACAGGCTTCTGTCTGCACTCGGCCATCTATGCAGCCAGGCCGGACGTGCGGTGCATCATCCACCTGCACACACCGGCCACAGCAGCGGTGAGTGGGTGTCCCCTGGTCCTATGAATGCTCCTAGCACAGTGGCCAGACCCAGGGGGCCCATTTCTCTAAGATTCTCCCCAGTAGCAGTCTCACTGAAAACAGTCTAGAAGGTTCTATAAGTCAGACCAAGGTGAGGGGAGAACATTCCCAACGTAGGCACCCCTCGTCTTCTTTGTAACTACCACGGTCTTGACATAAGGTAAGATGTGGAACATTTCTTCCACTGCATCCTTCACCCTGCTGCGCACACAGGCTGGGGCAACCCCCAGGGGACCACGCCTTCTGAGTTTCTACTTAAGTGAAATCCTTTTAGAGTGCAGGCTGCACCTGTCTCTATACACAGCCCAGGTCCTGGGTGACATCTTTTTTTTTTTTTTTTTACTTTCTTGTTTTTTTGAGACTCTGTATGCAGTTTAGGTTGGCCTTGAGCTCACTTTGTAGCCCAAGCTGGTCTCAGACTCACAGTGATCTTCCTTCCTCAGCCTACTATGTTCTGGGATTACAGGCATATACCACCGTGCCCAGCTTGAGTCTTTCTATGTAGTTTAGGATGGCCATGAACTCAGTATGCAATCCAGCCTGGCCTTGAATTTGTGGCGACCTTTTGGCCTCAGCCTCCCAAATGTTGGGATTACAGGTGTGCATCACCATGCCCAGCCTTGGAGGAGAAATACTGATAGAAGCTATCAAGCAGGCAGAAAACCTGCCCCAACTTTCTATAGCTTGGAGTAGTTGAGAACTGGAGACAGGAGCATGTACAACTAGGGGAAGGTGAAAGAAAAAGGCCAAGGAGTAGGTTGTCTTCCAAAGGTCTCTGGTCATTTCTCCACGTGCACCTACAATACTATGCAGCAGTTGGTAGATCCCAAGTTCAGGCATTGCCCAACCCTCGCCCCATCCTACAGGTCTCCAGACCACATACTGAATAGGGTAGACAGATTTCTGACCAGGCTGTTGTTTTTTTCAGTGACACACACCAGTTGTGGATGCTCAGAACTTCCCAAATTGGACTAACTTGATGATGTATTGGTGCTGAGCGGGGGTCTCTTAGGACCATGGGAGGCATGAGGGAAGGAGGGCAAGGTCCCGGCTAAGCCTTCCCATGCTCTTTGCTTTAAGAAGAGGTCGATGTGTGGGTTTCAGCCTTAATTCTTGGCCAGTATACTGCCCCTGGACCTTAAATTTGGGTTTCCTAGTGGTCTTCTCTAATAGAGCAAGGAGACATTTCTATGCTAAAACCAAGGCTGAGGGTCTCCAGTGACCCATCCCAAGGAACCTGGGCCCTGCTCACCCTGGCCTGGTACAAACTGAGCCATACCTGCCTCTTGCCAGAGTCGCAAGGCAAGAACAAAGCAGCAGCAGGGCCTCAGTGGCTTCCTTCCTTACAGTCTGTGCAGCCATCCTAACAGCTGGTGCCCTGGTATCAGCACTGATAGACCGTAGGGCCCACTGCATGAAAGCAGGCCTGAGCAGGTGGAGGAGGAGGAGGCCAAGACCTCCTGCATCCTCTTCCAACTCCATGGACCTCAGGGAGGAGCTGGCTATGCTGCTCCTGGGAAGGGCAGAAGTGCTGGGAGGATAGAGGCTTCAGGAACCACCATCCCACTGTCTCTACAGGTGTCAGCCATGAAGTGGGGCCTCCTGCCTGTCTCCCACAATGCCCTGCTGGTGGGGGACATGGCCTATTATGACTTCAATGGGGAAATGGAGCAAGAAGCTGATCGTGTCAACCTGCAGAAGTGCCTTGGACCCACCTGCAAGGTTGGCTCAGCCTTTCTGGGAGGGTTCTCTGGAGTAGCACTGTCAAAAACCAGCATCACAGAAGTGACATGTGTTCTTTGGAGAATGTTTAAATGTTGCAGGTAGCTTTTTTAAAAGAAAGAAAGAGAAAATTCTCTGTTACTGCTCTGAGATCCTGGTACACATTCCTAGTGAGTTTACATATATTAATATAATTATACTTATTATGTTTATATTTTATTATTGCTTGGTATAAGTCTAAGCCTGTAATAGCATGTATGTGGGGATGGTAAGATTGATATGGGAGGGTTTCAAAATTGAGCCTGGGTTGGTCGCTGCCATCCTGGCAAGGCACGCACTGTCCAACTCACTCTCTTTCTGAGTCCACATCTCCCCAGCTCTAACTTTAGTGAGAAGTCCCCCCTGTTTCCCAACACCCTCGGAAGTGTCACTAGCAATGCTCAGAGAGGGACACGGTATCCACGTCCATGAAGCATTGTAAGAGGGGGCATTTGTTGTTTCTGATATGGTTTGTGGGTCAGAGTCATTGTCTCTTTCCATTTCTCTGGCCCTTGAGAGAAAAAACCTGCAGCTGTGTGCAGCTAGAGAGGATGGTGCTCAAAGCCACGAGCCCTCAGCCTAGGTAGGCTCTGAAGGGATGGGTCGGACACATGAATCTGTGTTTTCGATCCCATAGGGTCACTGTCTGGCTCCAGAGAGTTTTTGAGGCTATAATCAACCAAGGAAAGTTTCCAGGAAGGAATGTTTAGCCTTTGGAGAGTTGTGCTATGGGTATGAATCTGTTTCTGGTCTCCTTCCTGGTCCTGTCAAGGTCAGAAACAATGTACCAATAGTAAAAAGCTCTGAGTTTTCAGACTTTGACTAATTAGCCAGGGCAAGCACTGGTTAGAATTCTACATCCTGATCTAGCAGAGGAGTACGATTAGGAGGCCAGCTCTTTCCTAGAACCATGTGATCCTGAACCTGGAAGGCAAGGCCTCACTGAAGATCAGAAGAGGTGATGTGACTCACCTATTGCTGGAGAACCATCTCTCAGAGAACCACTCTCTGGAGTTTTGACCCCCAAATTAGTCAAATTAGGGGCAAGAGTTTGCTTTTGAGGTTTGACCTTTGAATTAGACATCAAATAATTTCATTCACACCCATTTTTCAGAATTAGGAGTTCTCCCATGCCTAAAAACCCAGGCATTGCCCAAAGCAATCCATCAGGCTAGGTGGTCTCAGTTTTAAAAAATCCTCGTCAGTTTCTTGGAGTGGATGTCTTGGTTAAAGTCTCTCAAGTACTTTTCCCAGGCTTGGGGTTTCATTGGCTGTTTCCTCCTCTGCAGATCCTGGTGCTAAGAAACCACGGCGTGGTTGCTTTAGGTGACACCGTGGAGGAGGCATTTTACAAGGTCTTCCACCTGCAGGCTGCATGTGAGATCCAGGTGAGCAAGTCCTCCAGGTGAGGAACTGGGCCCGAGTGCTGGTGCTGAGGGTGGCTGTGGTCCACAGTGGTGGCCCTACTGGGTGTGAGAAGAGGCTTTCCTGGGCAACTAGCTCACAGAGAAACCTCACCTCAAAGTCATCCCAGCCCTAAAAATGGGTGCTGAGAGAGGCCTGTGTGCCCCCCCCCCACTCCCAGACTCCTGACCCCAGCATGGCCACCGGGTAGTTTAATCAAAACCCGAATGGCCATCTGCAATCGAAGGGCAGAGTTGCTGGCTACTGTCCCTGATAACCCCCAGCTGCTGTCACTTACTATTCAGATGCATTTGATGTGACCTTGTCAGAGTACTTCAGGCAGTGTAGTCCTCTAGCCCACAGTAAAGCTCCAGTGTATTTTTTTTTAGTTGGTGGGTAGAGAAGCTTCTAGAAGGAACAGAGCTAGAAGATGCTATAGAAGAGTAGACCGGAGCGTGGTGGATCAGGACATGAAGAGAGCAAGTAGCAGCAAGCTGCAAGTGCTACTGGGCCATGCCTGGGTTATTTGGGGCACAGTGACCATCATTGAAGCTCTGTTTACACCATAGGCCTCCTTTTCTCCCTCGGTGACGTTGGCAAACAAACAGATGTGACTGTGATCATGTTTGCAGTTCAAGGCCGTGTGCTTGCTCAATTCTCCTGGGGACCATGTTTTCTTTGCTCTCCATCAACTTGGGGTTCCAGGAAACTGGGTCATTCCTAGCTGAGAAAGGCAGCTTCCTGCTCTGCTCACAGGCAGATGGAAAGATGCACAGGCAATTCTTTTCCATCTGCTACCATTGCCATGGAAACCAGTGGAGGAAGAGGGCGCTGGGAGGAGGCAGCTCTTACAAGATTATGAACAATTGACTCCCTTCCTCACTCCTCCATTAATGACAAGTCTCAGGGGAGTTTGTATCCCACATTTGTGGGGCTCTCTGGGGCTCTTCTAAGTGCCTTTAAGGATATTACTTTGAAGATTCCTCACAAGGTAGATACTATTTTTATTTTACAAACAAGGAAACTGGAGGCACACAGATGGTGAATAATTGCCCCAAGTCACACAGGAAGTAGCAAAACCAGGTAGAAACCCAGGTAGACTGACACCAAATTTGTAGGCCTTTCTTGCATTTTCTCTCCTAAGCAGGCACAGTGGGAACAGTCACGGGGACAGGTGTCTTAGGAGAGAAGGGCGTGGAAAACCTTCTTCCTTCCTCTTCTTCTCAGGGCAATGGGGTTCACCTGGGGAGGTTGTATGGCTGACATCCAAGAAGCAGTAGAGGGACATTTATTAAGCATGGTAAATGGGACACACTACGGACTGTCTAGATCTTCATGGGTTCATAGGCCTGTATTTGTCAGCATGCTAAATGGATCTTTAGTTTTTCAGTAGAAAAGAACTAACACAAAAATACTACACACTTGCAAGGGTGTGTGATCAGAGCAGCTCCCCTGGAATAGCAAGCTTACATGAGCTAACCAGTCTTACCCAGGTGGGTGAGTGGGTCAGTGTACAGTGCAGATCCCCTGGCTCACTCTAGTGAGACTACCTAAGAGCCACTCCCTCTCTCTGTAGCCACACTTATCAGGAAGTGAAGCCCTAACTCTTTCCATCTGAGCGCTGGATATGTGGAGTCAGTGGAATGTATTCTTTGAAGGGCACGCAATTGGAAAATAAGATTAGTTAAATGAATGGTTTTGAAGAATTGCTCTAAAATTCCCTGCTGTATGTACATCTCTCTTGTCCTATTATTCCAAATCCACTGCCTGCAACCACCAATATCCTCCCATGAGGCTTTGACCATGGAACAGGTACCCTATGTTCACGGGTGACAGCTGCCTGACCCTACACAGTCCCTGGCTGTGCATTGGCAGCATTTTCTTTGTCTCCTGTTTCTGAGCTTTCTTATCTGGGTAATACCACCACAGGACTGGGGTGCAGTTTTGTTAACCTTTCCCATCACATTATACTCAAATTTCATTGACCTAGAAATCATCCTATTTTTTAAAGAAACTTAAAAAAGATTTCAAACATGCAGAAAAATACAGAGTAGACACCCTTTACTCAGATTTAACCAATATCCATGGCCTTTTTTTTTTTCAAATATTTTTCCTCTCAAGAAATGTTACAAGGGCCAGGGAGATAGCTCAGTGGCTTAAGTGCCTTCCTGGGAAGCACAAAGTCCTGAGTGTGATCCTTGGTACTGTGACGTGGGTGGAGGGAGAGAGAGAGAGGGAGGGGGAGAGGAAGAGGCAGAGGGAAAGGGAGAGGGAGAAGGGGAGAAAGGGAGAGAGGGAGAGGGAGAGAGGGTAAGGGAGA